AAAAAAAAAAAAAAAGGTAGCTTGGAAAACCTATTCTCACCAATGTGGTGGAAATTGGTTTTCCTTCAAAACCAAGAATTGGGTGGAAAATGAATTATATGGAAAATTTAACCTACTAAACAGCCTAAAAGGTGGAAAATGAAAAACGAATTTTAACTTCCCTAGAAAATTGGGTGCTATCAAAAAGGCCTTCAGTGATTGGTTGTTGTCCAAATAAGAAGTCTTGTCATACAAAATAACTTGATTTTCAGTCTCTTCGTTGCACAAAAAGGAAAAAGGGAAAATCACTAAAGAAAAGAAGAGATTATTTCTGTGCTTCGTGTGCTCGCATTTCCTGCCTTTGTGACTAAACTGAAGGCTTTTGCCTATTTCAAGAGCTTTATTGGGTGGTTGTCATCACATCAGATTTTCAATAAAGTGATAATAAAAAGAGTGTTTTGGTCACTTTACTAAGTAATTATTTATGCAAAATGAGGAAAAATTACTTTATTCGGGCTAAAAATAATTTTCTAATCTACACTAAAAATTAAGAAAATTTAAACCATCTTTTCTTCTCATTTTTTGAATTTTCCAATTTTAAGCTTAGAATAGAAAATTATTGTTAGTCTCAACACAATCAATTTTCCCTCATTTTGCATGAACATATCACTAAAAAAAAAAAAAAGGGAAAGTTCAAATCATCTTTTCTTCTGGTTTTCCTATTTCCAGTTTAGATTAGAAAATTACATTTAGTCAATTTTGTCATATTTTGCATAAATAATTATGTATCACTAATACTTGCAAAAGACAGAGCAACACGGTCGAAGAAATGGTTAGACCCCAAGTTCTATCATTGTTTAGGATGAAAGATACAGCGTAGAGCAAATTACACAAACAATTCTTAAAGTTGATGTCAACTTTCACTTATATTGCTGTGACACATTAAAAATACAGTCCAAATTGGATAACTTAAAGAGTAAAACCCAATTGGAGGCTCAGGACAAAGGCCCAAATAAGGTTGTTGGCAAGTGCAGAAGGAGCCTACGAACACAGTAACATCATCGCCCAAGTCCGCATGACGCCCAGAGTTTGGACGAATGGAGTGTCCCACTGTCGCTCAGCGCGATAGCCTCGTTTTCGCTCAAACCTTCGAATCACCCAAAATCCTAATATGTGAGATATTGTGGTCATCCAGAATAGCAATTATTGAGACAGTTATCGAACTAATTATCACATTCCACGATTTAAAAAACCTCTTTGAAAACAGTTGAACAACGAAAAGTAATTACAGCAGTTAAAGATGGCAGTTCCACGACAAATTAGTGAGTATAAAAAGAAAGAATAAATATTGACAAAAGTACTCTGAATCAAACACTCTCAAACAGAGAATATGTAATTTTAATTTCTTAGATTAACTTTAATT